CGAACATTAAGCGCAGTTTTTTTATATTTTTGTAACGGAAAAATTCAAATTTGTTATGTTAACGGAAAATTCCAGAACAGAAAAATGAAGAAAATATAAACCTGCAGAAAAGAAATGAGCTAAAGTGAGTTGCATAAATCACCAAACACGAAAATCGACAGAAAGTCTACAAGAGGGAGAAATCGAGCCTAGATTGAGTTAAAAAAATTCAGAGTGGAGTCAGGTGAGTGCCAGCATCCGGGTGTAGGCGTGCGCTGCATCCACCAGCGACGCAAAGCGGAGGCGAGCAATACTTGCCACAATCGACACTGGATCCACTCGCAGCGCCATGAGTGAGGACTGTGTATGCAAATGGGCGATTCGGACAAGAGCGGAGGAAGTGCAGACGCGCATTCGACTGGCAGCCGGCTAGCGTACGAAGTAGGGAAGACGTTGGCCTAACGGGGAAAGGATCATCATGTCGATGCTCATCATGCAGCAATGTAAATTTGAATCTGGAGACGGTTATGGTACTATTGGCCACTATTGGCTGGCCTGCGGCAAGGGAAGAGCCAAAAGAAGGCCTCAGCCGTCTTGACGCTCTTCATGAAACGGAAGTGCCTGCTCGGCAACCAATGGTAAAGGATACGAGCGAGGAGCCTAAGAAAAACCTCCCAGGTATTGAAAAGGGGCTTCCCAGGTCATAAAAGGATGGTGGCCGGGATCGAATCGAGAGCTTGAAGGGCCCAAAAGGCGGCGCGTAATGCTGCAAAAGCAGATTTACGTTGGCCATTGAGGCGGCACTTGGGGAGTTTCTGGAGTAGGAGCTGGCAGTCTTCGAGAGGCTGCACGGAGTCTCGCATGTCGCGGAGCACAAGACCCGACTGAAGGACGACAAGCCTTTAAAGCAGTTATATTATCCGAAGAATCCGGCCAGGCAGAGGGTGATCAACGAGCAGGAAGACGAGCTAATCCAGGCATTCCTGATGGTCTTAGTAAAGAAGAAGGCTGGCGAGTGGCGCATGTGTAACGATTACCGGCAACTCAACGCGATGCTTATTCCGTCCCCCGTACCAACAACATCCTTGAGCGGTTGCGTAGCACCCGGTTTATCTCCAGTCTGGATTTGAAGCTCGGGTATTCACAGTCCCTGGAAGAGGTCTGTTCCAATGGCGGGTGATGTCATTTGGTTTACATTCGGCATGTGAAACATTCCAACGAGCCTTAGAGACAGTAATAGGGCCAGAGATGGAACCTCATGCGTTTGCCTGCCTACACGATATCGTTTTAATAGGGGTAAGGGGAGAAGAACATGTAAAAAATGTAAAGGAGGTGTTCCGCCGGTTAAGGGCAGCCAATCTCAGGCTGAATAGAAAGAAGTGCTGCTTCTTTCGGGAATGTCATTTGCGGGGAAGGAATACGTACCGATCCAGACATCTAGATCCATAAGTAACATGCGGGCCCCGAAAAATATTAGAGATTTGCGGCAATGTCCCGGGCGTGAGTATGGCCTGGGCGCGGTGCTAACGCAAACGGTTGAGCGACACGAGCGGGCGATAGAGTACGCGAGCCAGAAGTAGCTGAAGGCCGACTCACTATCAAGACATCCTCTAGAGACCTGTCAGCAAGCAGTGGTCATGAGGAAAAAGGAAAATGGGCAGTCATATAGGCATTTGGGCCACCGGACGGACGGCCAGAACTACATTCCCTGAAAGCTATGTGTGGCTAATGATCCGAGGCACCTGAACCACGTGCCGCGTTCGCCCCGCGAGCACCAAGAGGGTCCTTCCCGGCCTGGGAAGGAAAACCTTAGTTGCAGAGCCGTGGTCACTCCCCCAGGTGGATGCTTTGATCCTTGGGTGGCGCAGAAACCCCCCCGCTAGTACCTATAATACGCGCACAGCTACCCGGCACCACTTCCCGAAGGGAGATGGAGTAGGCATAATTCAGCCCAGAAGACGTGATGCCGCCGTTGGTGCCCATCACACGCGTAGTGACGTCTGTTGCTGGCCACCGGACAGACACGTGGGGCGAGGATGCGGAAACGGTACCCGTTTCACCCGCAGATGCTACCAAGACCCCCACTGATAGTGACCTGTGGAGGGAAATTGGAAATTGGATTTGTTTGACGAAATTGACGGGTGGGTCAAAAGTCTAAAATCGGTGCTCGACGAGGAAGCGGACCTAACTGGCAGAGAACGCTGCACTATCCATCGAACGCCGAAGGTCAGCTCGATCGTTCCGGATATGCGCAGGCTCTTCTGCTAGGCGGATCGAAAACAGAGTAGCAAAATTTGTAGCACTTCCCCTCTCCCTACACCATCCATCCCAGCAACGAACAAATGTCTTGTAGGCTTACTGAACCTGGCGAGACCGAGATTTGTACCCGGCCAGTATTTTGACTTTTATATTTGCTTGTGAGCGTGTTGATAACATAGCACTCGTGGGCATTGCCTTGGGGGTGTGAGTGATCTTCAGTGAGTGAGTGGTCTTCATTATATTTTTAATCGTGGGGTGGACTTGTGCTTATATTTATATTTAGCTTTGTTGTGAACAAATTGTTGTCTAAAACACAGAATGAATTAATCGTAGCTTACAATTCTAACTTAACTTATAATTATTAACATTATTATTATGTTAATAAGAGTTAACATGCTCTGATGAATGAGCAAATACGTTTACATTAACGGACATAATGCATTTGTGCATATGTATGAAACAGACAGTAGGAAGCATCACTGACCACATAAAGTGTATATATTTTTGATCCGTGGTAGGAATTTGTTTCCGATTATCGATAACTTTCCCTGTTTCTAAGCAATCTATAAAAATCGATATCGACATCTAGTTTTTTGAGTAATAGCACTAACCATACAATGTATAGACATACCAAATGGCACTTTTAATCGAAACATGAAAAATCGAAACGAGGCGACCCCAATGGTACCTGCGACCATTTTAGTGTGCCCAGACACTGCTGAGACTGCTGAGAGTGGCAGCCGAACGCCGGCCTCAAAAGCCGAACGTTCAGTATGAAGCCGCATCTCGCTCAGCGCACAACGTCGCGGCTGATACGTTTTCTTAATGTATGTATGTATGCCATTTTTAAATCCTTACAGCCCAAAAACATATATGTGTATGCATGTGCCTCGCTCTCACTCATTGCTTCGCGCAATTGCATCCATCTCTTTCTCCCTGCATAGCTTCCCACAAAACCCCGCACAAGTAGATCGCGGCGTTTTTCGCGAGCCAGAGGTTATTTCTTCAATTGTGTGCCTTTTGTGCCTGTGGTAGCAATGACACACACATTTAAATGCTCTATCATGTATTTTTTTGTCCTGTCAGGCATGATGAGAAGAATTTGATCAAATTTTATTTAATACACAATTAATTGACCTAAATAAAATATTTATATTTATTTTCTGTTTACTGTAGGGACCTATTTTGCTTAAAATACAAAAATATCTAAGTCGTATTTCTGCAAGAGTTATTCATCGTCGGCTTGTCGAAGAATTTAAGAAAAGACCAAAAATTGACGCACACTCTTTCAAGTAAGCAGTTGTGTGAAATTATTAAAGGGTTTGGCCTGTTCATGTGCAATATTGTTATTTTTCATGCTGGTTGTAGGGGTAAGGGTACCTTATCGCTGGCATGTGTGCATGGAAACTTTTTGGGTCGGCCAACCACGCACACTAACACACTTTTCTATATGGATGGAAGCATTAATGCGTTTGTGTGGGTGTTGGTTGCCTGTCTGCCTGCCCGATGCAAATTTGACAAAATATGAAGTTTTTGGCATTTCTGAATTTCGAACTCCACACACACACATATACACACTCACAAATGTGTGTGGAAATCTCCATTGGAAATCTCGATTTATCATCACAAAAAAACACAAATGTTCGGGGCGAACTTACACATTTTTAAAAATTGTGACATTTATGGGGAAACGTACATGTTTGCGTCTAGAAATTCTCGCATTGTACCCAGAAAACAAATTCACTATATATTGGGCTCGTTAAAGAGTCATACTGCCGTCACAGCGGATAACCATTATTTGTATTCTTGCTTGAGCATTGTAACACTGTTACATTCTTAAATATTGCCATTGACATCAATGGATATAAACAAACAAATCATCACATAAGTGACTCGATCAAATGTTATATGATAAGTTTTTGATGGCCACCGTCTAATGCCGACTGACTTACGGCACTAGCGCATTCCACGGGAAATGCCCAGTTGCGCCATGTACAGGAAGTATCTAGCTGCACGCGCATTAAAATATTATATGCATGAGTACCCCCTCACTGTCAGACTGTGCTACCTATTTAAATAATTATGCTAAGTTGAATATGTTAACTACGGTAAGCTAAGCTTAATTAAATAAAAATTAATGATAAGCCTCACATCGAGCCAACAAGTCGAATTATATTATGTCATTATATTCGACCCTGAAATTTCTATCAGCAGCGACAGCACTGTGGAGCCTCCTCCTGCAAGCCGCTGCAGGGTTGACCCCCAATCCGAGCTGGTCAGCATAGTCCGTGAACTTCTTGAATTGCACTTAAGTTGGAAAAATGCCAACGGGAGTACTAGCAAGCGCTTAGGAGCACGCTGAATGAAATAACGTTAAGGACTGCAAATTTTCAGGCACAGCTGATTGAATTTCATTGAAATGCAAATAATAAATATTATAAATGTTTATTTTAAAATAAAAAGTAGCCATTGTGGCTTGCGCATATTTAGCTATGCAACAGTCTTAAAAATGGCTATTTTTCATTTGACAATTTTAAATATGTTAGATGTTGCCAATGTTAATATAATTTTCACATATTCAATAAATTTCATTCGTTCCCCGAAAATGTACTCAGTCCGCATTAGTTATTATTGTCATAAAAACATAGTATTGATAACTTTCTTTTCAAATTGGTATCGAGAGTAACTAGTTACTTTTACATATTTTGCTTGTAACGGGCTACGCAAGGTTTTCTCTTACCTTGACATTACCATCTCTTTGATATATGTGTATACATATATATATATGTACCTTGAATATTCCCAATATTGGTTTTAGAAATTAAAAATGATAAAAGCTATACTAGTATTTAACAATCATGGGAAGCCTCGGTTATCCAAATTTTATCAATATTTTGTACGTAAAACTGGTGGAAATATTTCTTTAATTTAGAGAATGTTTATGTCTAGAAGCAGACAAAACCCTACATACATATGTTCCCTAAAAAATTATTATTGTCGCACAACTCCAAGAACAAAAACATGATGGTTTTTTCAATTTATTTTCATTGCAAAAGAAGAAAATGTGTGTACACTTTATATATACAGTATGTCAATAAAGTGTTTTGACTAACGAAAAAAAACTAATTTTTTGGGTTTAGTTGAAAATAAATGTACCTAAAAGTGAGAATTTTTTTTCAATTCTAATTTATTTCGATTCTATATTTTTCCTAGAACTTAATGGCAAAAAGAATTGTTAAATAACATTACCCAAACATTTTATAAAATTAAAAAACTAAAAACATTCAAATTTTATGCTGTCAATAAAGTGTTTTTACACGAAACTTTATTACTAAATAACAATGTTAAAAAAACAGGAATATTTTTTTTTAATACTTTGTGTGGCTGCCATTAGCGTCACATACAGCCTGCAATCGCCGTTTCATTGAAACAATAAGGTTTTGTATGTATGTTTCTGGAATCTTCTGCCATTCTTCCAGTACAGCAGCTTTTAAATCAGTTTTTGATTTTGGACTCCGCTTTGCGACTTTTTTTTTCAAATATGACCACACATTTTCTATTGGATTCATATCTGGACTTTGTGGTGGAGTGTCTAACACCTTTCCACAGTTGTACAACAGCCAAACTCTTACCATATGAGCTTTATGCTTCGGGTCATTGTCCTGGTAAAATTTAAAAATTGGCTTATTGTCCTCATAGAATCCAAATTTCTGTGCACTACTGACGAGATGTGTCTGTAAAATGCTCAGATATTGTCTAGCATCCATGGTATTCTCAATGAAGGTCAAATCTCCTACACCCTTGCTCGAAATACACCCCCACACCATCACTGATAGTTTTCCGAATTTAACGGTTGGAATAATATTGCGGTTTTCCAACGCTGTTAGTGGCTTTCTCCAGACTCTGGATGGCCCATCGTTGTAGAATAGCATCATCTTGCTTTCGTCACAGAATATGACGTTACTCCAAAAATCGTTCGAACTATTTACATGGACTTGAGCGAACGATAGCCGCTTCAAAATATTCGCCGCCGATAGTAGAGGTTTTTTCCTGGCAACTCGTGATGTGTAGTCATTGGAATTCAGTAATTTTCGGACAGTTTCATGTGACACATCAACACCACTTTCTTCCTTGAACTCCTGAGCAATATCCCTAAGCGAAATTTGTGGATTTTTCTCAATTTTTCTCAGAATTTTTCGCTTATCTCTGTCAGAAATTTTGCAGGGTCGACCACATACTGGCTTTGCCTCTAGCCTATCTTCCTTATTGGCTCTGTTTAATATGTTGTATATCGTTGCTTTTGATAAATTAAACATATCAGCCAGTTCCGAGACTTGACGTCCCATCTGATGGTTATAATACACCAGCTGAGCGACTTCAAAAGTTGTTCTTTTTCCTGGCATTTTATTTTTCATAAAATTAAAGCAAAACGTTATAAATTGCAATAGAAAATGACAAGAAAAGTCGAAGACACAAGAGAAGCCAAAACGCATGGGCCCAAATCTAACGGGATCACCCAAAAGAGAACGGCAAAACAATTTACCGTAGCTGTAAAAACACTTTATTGACAGCATAAAATGTGAATGTTTTTAGTTTTTTAATTTTATAAAATGTTTGGGTAATGTTATTTAACAATTCTTTTTGCCATTAAGTTCTAGGAGAAATATAGAATCGAAATAAATTATAATTGAAAAAAAATTCTCACTTTTAGGTACATTTATTTTCAACTAAACCCAAAAAATTAGTTTTTTTTTGTTAGTAAAAACACTTTATTGACATACTGTACATTAATAGACCTATTGCTTGACCCAGAATCAAATGTACTGAAGCTTAGTAAATGTCCAGATAACCCTCATATGTGCAATAACTATGATAAAACCATATAATATATATATATATATATATATAATCAATTTACTAATTCGAATTTTTTAATAGGATGAGAACCTTCAGCAACAAATCATTAAAGAGACGTTCCAATTAGTTTCAAAGCGTGACGATAACGTTTGCAATTTTCTGGAAGGCGGCAGGTAATCTTATGAATATATGAATCCGAGGTTAAAACCCACAAACTTAATATGCAGAGTGTTGCATTTGACGTTATCGGCAGCACCGAGGGTTACTCAGTTGGTTGCGTGCGATATTATCGGCCACGCCGATATCTTTTGGCATATGGTCGGAGTATGCGGGGTGAAGCTGGGCCCACGGCGGAGCCCAAAATTTTGAAGGGTGGCAACGCCAGACATGCGATCCACGGCGCCAAAAGCGACGATTGCTATTGGCCGCCCGTTTCGCTCTTAAAGGGAATACGAGGAGAGTGGATCGCATGCCCTTGGATATGCCCTTGGCCTTCATTTGGGCCGTTGACCCAAAAAAATGCAGCTGTGCAGATGAGCAGCAACGGTGCCCGCCTCGCAAATGTATGCGTGTGCCGAAATTCGGCACCGATGGTGTGGCTGCCAAAAATGTCAGGGAGTTCGATTTGTTCAGCGGTTAACGGCGGGCGTGCCAGCTCGAAGTGAGCAAAAAAGTTGGACATTGCATTTCTGCTTGACAGAGTAAAATTTTTTCCCTTCTGAAAAATTAAGCCGGCACATAATACCAATGGCTTAACAGACGAATAAAAGTTTTGTTTTTGTGTTCTTTGCCATGTAATAAATTTATATAAATCAAACCGCTCGAATCACAAAGAAAATATAATAAAAAAATTGAAAGAGACTTAAAAATTTAAGTGCGACGAGAGACGAACCAAATAAGCCAAAAATTAACGGCTCCGGCACCAAGGAGACCGGCTCGCGCACCAGAGAGGCCCGCGAAATATTCAAGGCCAGGATTCAGTGCAGCGGCGCAAACCAGCCATATCCGCGACGCCGCCAGCAAGCGTCGGCGCAAACGTGAAGGCGACGAGACGAGCCACCAACGACCGGGCTCCAACAACGAAGAAGCGGCCACAGGCGAGACCCCGCCCACATCCACCGAGTGAGTCCGTTCCATTGTTTTGCCCATCCTCGTTCGAGCCCCTGGCCGAGTCAGAAGAAGACTCCTAATTGCACTCCCTGAAAAGGAGTAGATTTTTTTTATCGTTAAATTTGGTTAATTTGTATTTATAAAATATATTCATACATACATAGGCACTTACGCCGAGCTTCACTTTAGAGTGCGAGCGGTGAGGAAAACTCCAACGGTGATGCATCTGCGCCTGTAAAATATAAAAAAAAAAAATCTAAAATTAACTCTTGCGCGAACTATGCTCACATACTTACCTAATTTGAATTTACGCATTTATATCGCCCCTTACCACCCCCAGAGAGCTCTTTAGGTAGGGTAAGGTAGAATTAAGCGATTTAATACATACAATACACAATACGTGACATACCCAGTTTTAAGTAATTGTGCGGGCCATTGTTCCTAAATCGGGGCAACGATTGCCTCTAAAGTGCCTCATTGCGCGTTTCTTTTGCGGCGACTAGCAATATCCTTGTAGTGTTTCGTCGCCTGTTCCATTCAGTGTTGTAAAAAAATAAAAAAAAATTAATTCTATAAGATAAGAGAAAAATTTAGGAATTAATGCGCTGTGTCAATTAGTATAAATATATGCAGCAGTAATACGCACCTGTGAAGTTAATGAATTATCCGCTTGCATGAGATCCTAAACAGCTGCAAGATAAATGCCATAAGCAATGATTATGATTGTTATACATTTTAAGAAAACGCAACCAATTATACGCACCTATTGAAAGAAATCATGTCCGGCTAAAATAATATTGCTGGGGAGGGTGGGCATTATGGCCGACACGGGCTAATATAGGCCATTTGGTGGCCAAAATGAGGGAGACGAGTGGAGGTGATCGTCTCATGGTAGGGCGGGTACGCTGGGTCCGGAACCGGGGCCCGATCTGGAAGAGTAAGGTGGATAAATAGTGTTTTTTTGTTAATTTATATTGAGTGTCTTACCTTTGTTGTTTACATTTTCATAGTTGTTACAGCTGTGTATTTTGTTCATGAGTTAGTAGTTCCGAATATTTGTTATCGATTATGCGGTTCATTTTGAGTAGTGTTGTGTGAGTCTGTTTTGCTACAGACGTGTAGCTTTGTTGTTATCGATTGTGCGGACTGCGGGCCAGGGATGGGACCACACCCAGAGAATCCGATGAGCCAGCCGGCGCGGCCCACTGAGAAACAAGCAGTTCCGTAACAATATGGCGCCCAATTTGAAGAAGCACTCGGCTTCTTTGAAGTCGGTGTGTAATCAAAGAAAAATAAATACGATAAAAATGAAGGTACAGAGGAAAGGACTCCCTTGGCTTCAGGACCCACACCGCTGAAGTCTTATGTGGCACGAGTAGGTAGCTCATAATCGCGCAGCGTGTAGTGGAATCCGAGAAGCACGACGGAAGTAGAGGTTATCTGAATATCCATCCATAAGCATGAGGGGTTTTTTTTGTAGTGGTTGATGGCCGTTCGCATGTTGGCGAAACATTTGCGACTATCCATCGTTCGCCTGGTGGTAGCCGCAACGACAAAGGCATCTCATGGTTAAAAAAATGTGATATTAGGGTAGTTTAGTCAGATGTTATTTATTCAATTAGTTGTTTTTGTCTCATTTTGTGTCAATGTTGGATGTGTGCTGGCCGTAGTTAAATGAGCTTCGGAGGCAGGTGACCCAGGACGATATAGAGCCGATCCTGCGCCGCACCTGTCACACAGCATACTCTAAGGGTGCACAGAAGTGCGACAGAAACCAAATAGCCTTCAAGGTAGCGTTCCTTGCATGCCGTCCGTCAGTCAAACTGACGAACTGAGCATGGGACGAATGCTTAAGTGTTGTCCACTGTCCAGATTATGCGTAGATTATTTAGCCTGTGTTAGGATTTGTCTTCTCTCCCCCAAGTATTTGAAATTAATTAGAAAGAAAAAAAATTTTAATTTTGTGAGTGTTTTGTGGTCGATGTGTATTAATTTATTATTCTTTATTAGTAAGATTTGTTAGTGGGTGTTTATTTATTTATTAATTTATTAGAAATATTAGTAAAGTTTTTATAAGGGTTGTAAGCCTTGTAGAAGAGAGGGGTACTGTTCTCAGAAGGGATAAGTATGGCTGAGGAACAGGTGTCTGATTGGGCTTCTGACGCTGATGGGGCGTCGGCTCTGCCACCGCCGCGCCCAGCTGGAGGGCTGGTGCGAACGCCAATGAATTTCCGGGGATTTCCAGAGAGACAGATCCCGAAAGAGGGTCACCTGGTAGACTTGGAGAAAGAATTGGCGCAACAGGATAGACCTCCACGGAACCTGGAGTTCCCAAAAGCCCCGAAAGACTCAGTGCTCAAATCGGCGGCAAACGCGGCGATCGCTCAGGCCCACCAAACATATCTGCATGCTCTGCCATCTGGCATCAGCGAGTCCATCCGCGAGGAGATGCGAGCTGGCTTCATGGAAATGATGAAGGGCATCATTGATGTGCTTAGGCCGCCAGGGAGCCAAACCGCCGAGACTAACACTGCGCCGAAGCCGCCAAGACATGTCGAGCCGGGACCGCGAACAGGCGCCATCCCGAAAGAACGGGAAGCGTTCCAGCGTGAGGCATTTCCACCACCGGTGCCACCGAAGCCACGTAGGCAAGGCGCACGAGGGGCGGAGTATTCGTCCAGCAGCCCAGTTTACGTGGCAGATGCTCAGTCGAGGAACTGGCGTAACCCGAATAACCGCCATTTCCGAGTAGAGGACCGGAGAGCGGATGATTTTCAACCGGAGGAGGCGTACGCCAACGTGCGAGAAACTGCGTACATGAAGCTCGAGCGGTGGAACGTCAAGTTTGACGGCGAGGACGCGATGAATTCGGTCGAGGACTTCGTGTTCCGCCTAGAGTTCCTGCAGAGGCAGTATCAGTGCCCGTGGAAGGAGGTCCTGCGCGGTTTCCACCTGCTCCTGACCGGCCGCGCCCGCGAGTGGTACTGGATGCACGTGCGGCATTCTAGGGTCGACAGCTGGATGCAACTGCGGCATGCCCTCTTGGACAGGTTCCGGGGCTACCAGACGGAACACGAGGTAATGCAGGAGCTTCTACAACGAGAGCAACAGGCCAGCGAAGGGGTGGATGATTATATCCACCACATGCGTCAACTCGCCGCGCGATTCCAGAAGCCGCTGAGAGACCGAGAGCTGGTGAGGATTATAAAGCGTGGTTTAAAAGAAAGTCTGGCGAAATATATTTATGCCATGGACGTACTCACCGTGGATGAGCTGCGCCAAGAGTGCCTAGAAGTGGAGAGGCACATGGGTCGCAGAAGCCGGACTGGGTACCTTCAGCCGTCGCGTTGTCCACAAGGAACGAGGCCCGTAGTCCACGAGGTTGAAGTTCCACCGCATCTTACAGAAACGCCACCGGGAGAACTGGAGGAGGCATTCGTGCGAAGCAGGAACTCATCCCGAATTGTATGCTGGAACTGCAGACAGTTCGACCACGTCTTTAGAGACTGCCTGTCCAAGGAGCGGAAAATATTCTGCTATAGGTGTGGAAAGCCGGACACTTTCTGCTCGCAGTGTGAAAACTGTCCGGGAAACCCCAGAGGGAGCGCGGTGATGGCGGGACAGACGCGTTCCGGGACGGCGACCGCGGGAAAGCAGGAGAGGGGCACCTACCAGAGCCAATAATCATTGGAAAGGAGACGGAGATTTGGAATAAGGATCAGGATAAGGCTAATTATAATAATAGTATAAGCAAAGGAGGAACACTTAGGGGCTTACCATACGAAGAACGTGTTCGGGCATACATGCCGGCCCGAAATAGAATTTTTGGTGAGCGACAGCTGGAGGGGATGACGCTAGCCACCCGGAGAATGGTGAAGGCACGTGCGCGCTTCCGCAGACGCAGGATTACCAGGCGCCAGGTCGTCGAAGCGGTGAGACGGGAGGAGAGTATAGACCCACGAGTATTCGCCGAAGTGGAGGTCGCTGGAGCCAAAATGAAAGGGTTGCTGGACACGGGGGCCTCAGTCAGTCTGTTGGGACAAGGATGCCGGGAGTTAGTGGA